TATATATATATATATATATATATATATATATATATATATTATATGTATTTTCTATAAAAACAATCTTATTTAAATCTGTTAAAATTATTATATATGCGATAAAACTTTTTCTTTAAGTATTTAACATGTAATATAATGATTTTTTGTTTGTGTAAATTATATTATTGCATTATTATCATCGTGTTAATTTCTTGCTAGTTGCAGTCTACTATGTATGCGATAATTTTGTAAAAAGGATTGGAACTTCGAACTACATTTGAGTTGCTTGAGGTTGAGGCAAATTAAAATCGGATCAATCACTTCCTTTAGTCCAAAAGGAGATCACGTTTCAATATTTCATGTGAAAAAATAATGATCAACATGTACTTAAGTAGGAAAAGAAATCAAACTTTGAAGACAAATAAAGAACATGAAGTGAGCACGAGGAGTACAGGACAAAAATATATGTGGCTGAAAATAATAGGGCAAAGGTGGTTGGAGAAAACCGCGGCAGTTTCCTCGTACCACCCCGACACAAAGTGGTATTATCAAAAGCAGTTTTTGATTCTCTCTCTCTCACACACATTCGTTCATTCATAAATATAATACCAGCTTAATAACAGCCCACAATATATTTTTCGTAATTCTAAGATCAACCAAAAGGGTAAAACCGCTGATCTTTTCCATCTGCCACTCTTGTCTGCTAGCACTTTATTTGTTAGTTAGCAATCATAATTTATAAATAGTGGTTTCATTCCAAAAGACCCATAGTCGCAAGATTTTATATGGATTTTCCTTATATAATTAACATTATGAAGAGAGAAAAAAAAAAACAACCATTCTTACTTATGTGTTATTTTAAAATTTTAAGATATAATATAATTATTATTTTTCAAGTGCAATATTATCTTTGAATAATTTTTAATTATTTTTCACATTAATCACAAAATATAATTAATACTAATAATAATTAGAAATTAAAAAGATATGAATAAAAATTATATTTTTAATATAATAAATATATTGTTTATGTATGCCATTACTTTAAATAATTCTAAAAATGAATAGGGTTGGAATTCACCTTCAATTTAATATCAAGTACTATATATATATATATATATATATAGAAATCTGACCCCCACAACCTCACAATACCACAATACCATTCCTTACCTTTTCCACTCACAAAACAATATTTATTTACAGCTTTCATTCCAATAGTCACAACTTTGCATTCACTGCACAAACTATAAAATTGGAATTATTCTTTAGTCACGAATAGTCAATAAATGCTTATATTACCTTCTAATCCCTGTGGATACGATATTTTTACTACTTGAACGGCCGGTATACTTGCCGTGTTTGAGACCGTTGATAGAATTAAACGAATTTACAAATATTAACAAAAGTGTTTCAACGGAAATTTCAACATCGTTCTACTTGGAGAACGGGTCGTTCCCCTTGATAGAACAACCCAGAAGAAAAAGCTAACAACCCAAACAAATAGAACAACATAAAGACCGAATAGAACAAATAACCATAATAGCAATGCGAAGCAAAAAGGTGTTAGCGATTCATACCTGAGCTGCAACAATGTGCGAACGAATAATGAAGAGTTCACTCCACTCTGCAGAAGATAGAAAAAACAATTTAGCAACAAAGGAGAGGGAGAGGGTTTATAGAGAATAATCTAGAAAAGTGATGAGATCTGAGTGAATGCGTGCGTGCATGTGCCTCCCATGCACTCTTTTTATTCGCTTTCGCTACTTTTTTTACATCGGACCTAGTAGGGTTCAACGTAAAATGTAAAATTTACTTTGGTTGTATGTTGTGTCCGACGTAGATTTTACATTACGTAAAAAAGTTTGCAAAAATTACAAAAATGTCACCGCACCTTTTTTAGGTCGATTTTTGTTAAGTCCGATGAGAAAAAAGTGACGTAAAAGCTAGTTTTTCACTAGTGGTAATTAGGAATTTAATTACATTTCACAAAAAGAGAAACTAACCTTAATGGAAAATTCAATAACCACCAAGTTTATTTTTTTAAAATAAAAAAAGAACGATAAGCAAATAACATTTTCTTGAGAAAAATTATATTAAAACCTTAATTGTTTATATCAACTTGTTCATAGATCCAATAAGACTTCCTTAAAACTCTCTCAATAGCAAATTTCCACTCCTATTCTAATTATGATATTGAAGGCCTTGGATATTGTGAGCTACCAATCTAGTTGTGTATGGATGCATGTGTTATGAGTTGTAAGAATAATTGATTAGTTGTTAATAATTTCTTAGAGTTAATTGTTGGTTCTAATATCGCCATCTACACACTATTGTATCATTTATCAATCAATTACAAGGTGATTTTTTATGGTACTCCACTTCTCTATTTTGAACTTTAATTTATGATGCATGACCTCAGTATTTTAGTGTCAGTTGTATTTTTTTCTCAAATCTCCTCATTCGGATTTATGATAGCATGTGTACTTGTGCAACAAATGGGAAAAATAATATTCAAAGATAAAAAAGCATCAACTTCAATTCAATATTGATTCCTAAATATGTGTAACTTTACAAGAGAGATGCACCATAGTGCTTCCTAAGGCATTACTTTAAACCATGGAGGCATGGACAACGGACAGAACCAACGTGCTACATCTCATACCTCATATTTCATATAATACAAATTAAAAGCATACTTTCAAAATCAGAAGCAAAACTGACCACATAATTCAAACTTCAAAGTAACTTGATAGAATTAAAAGTGGAAGCTTACTAGAGAAGTTGGAGTGAGGCAAGTGAAGGCTCTAGAGTCACGTGGTGGTAGCTAGTGAGATGGCTTTGTTCCATGGAAGTTGTGTTGACAGAGAATAAAGAAGAGGGGAATTTCAGCAGAGAAGGTATTGAATATTCGTGAACAAGACTATTAGAGATAGGAGAAGAACAACACGGAAAATAGAAAGGAAAAAAGGTGCAGTCACTAGTGTCCTAAAACCACTTTAGTTGCCCACTGTTTCCCTCTATTTAATAATTCTTGACACTTAAGTTTAATGTATTTAGCATTTCAATTTAGATTTCATATACATATATGTACATAAATATTTTGACATAATTATGAATATTAATATATTAAAATTATTTTATATTCTCCTGTATTTTATATTATTTTAACTTATATGATATATATATATAAACATATTTTTATAAATGGGTATCATTTATTTTGAATTACATAGGGTTACAATAAAAATTTATATATACACTTGTTCTCAATGTGAGAAAAATCCCTGAAAAAATGCACCCCTCCACATCTATAACATCTAACACTCAAAGCTCCACCCTGAATAGTTAGGAGTGTTTATGGATCGGTTTTTTCAAAAAATCGATCCAAACCGAACCGAACCATTTTATAAAAGTGGATCGGTTAACCGATCCATTTTTTATAAAGTGGAACGGTTTAGTTTTTTTAAAATATGAATCGGTTTTTTTGAAATTGGATCGGTTCGGTGCGGTGCAGTTATCTATTTTTTTACTCATATATGAATCGGTTTTTTTAGAAAACCAAACCGAACCGAACCGATCCACTTTGTAAAAATGGATTGGATAACTGAACCGGTTTTATAAAGTGGTTCGGTTCGAATTTTTTTTCAAAATGGATCAGATTTTTCAATATGGATCGGATCGGTTATGGATCGGTTCGGATCAATTTGGATTTTTTGCACACCCCTATGAATAGTAAGAGGAGGTCTCCTTGCAACCCAACTACCCTACTGCCGAGAAGGTCTGTGTTATTAAGTAACTTCAATTATTTTATTTTTAAATTTGTAAATAAAATATAAAAATACAAAGGGAGTGGATGTTACTATATAATAATAATATTACCATGTTAACCTAATCCCAAAGATACCACAACCTTGCCAAACGCTCTTATTGTTGTAAGCAAAAATGGAAATAAAATAAAGATGCTAAAGATATTCGGGGAATAATAATTATTGTTCAAAAGTCAAGCTTAACTTCCAACTGCACAGTCATTAATGACCTTCTAAGTTCTAATCTTCCTATGTGAAGTGAGGCCGTTAAATTCCACTCTTTCTACCGTCAAATTTAACGCTTCCTCTTCTCTTGGCTTCTCTCTCCCTGCGCGATTCTTCTTCTGGTACATCAAATGCCAACGACGTCGTTTTCCTTACTCGCTTTTCGATTCAATTTCTATTTCTGTTTCTTCGCTTGCTTCTTAGTTCTTACTCGCACCACAATTCGCGCAATTAAGTTCGTTCTTCGAGCAGATGTTCCACTTTATGCACCTCCAATCTAAGTGCCTATTTATTTATCAACTTGTTTTGATTCGCAGCATCTTCATTAATTTTATTTGTTACTGTTTTGATTTTCGAGATTCGTAGCGTTCCCTTGGCCCTTGCCACTTTCGCACACACTGAGTTTATACGTTTATTCCGTAATGATCCTTTAGCTTGCAGATTCTCTTCAAAAACAACCTCGTTGATCAATTTGTTTTTAATCTTATTATTTTATTGCAAAAAATGCTAAAAGAGGCATAGATCGCGTAGTTCCTTTTGTGAAATGTGGAGGGAGAAAAGACACTGATCTTTTTTGATTTTTGACGTAGACTAATAATGTATTATGTTATTTATAAAGTGGACCTTCCTTTTGATGTTATTCATTTGGTGTTAGAGACGTGTCTTCACCCAATTGCTTTTTTAAGTACTTGCATGATGACATGGTGGCTCATTATTGGTAACAAAGTGGTATACAATTTGGTCTTTCTTTCTTCCAAATTTAAGAAACCAATAGTTAACTTTCAACAAAATTGGTCATTGTTCACGCTTTTTAAATCCAAAGAGTAGCCTCTGAGGTTACATCGTAGAGATGTTATATAAAACCATACTTTTTTGTAGTATATAACTTGTAAAGAACTTGAGCTTTTAAAGGGCTTTCCCCCAATATAGTACTACTGTTATATATAGCGATTGCTCGTAACTTTTGGGAATTTGTGCTTCCAAGTTGCAACTGCTAAATACTCTGTGCATCTTAGCTTTTGGTACAAACGCTGATTGGCCTAACTTTTCTCTCTCACCTTCATTTGAACGATTGGTTTGTCTATTTGGCTTCTCTATTGTTAAATAACTCAAGGTCGTGCAGTTTTGCCTGTTCATAAATTAAGTTTGGTGAGGGCTTCATTGATAACGCTTTCTTTTTGGTTTTTTTTTTTTTTTAATTTTTTTTTATGACTGCAGGTATGGATACTGCTGCAGGTCAAACTCTCTATCCGTTGCACCGTTGCAAAACTGTTCACCTGGTTTGTGGAAATTTTTTCCTTGATGCATAATTTTTTTCTCGATGTTTTAAAATTCAAACAGTGAATGTACTGGTTTATGTTTTACTCATCTGGTATGTAAAGGGCTAATATCATAAATTCATACCGTAATGCTGTATACATGGTCCTTTATATGTGTCAAAAAATATTTTTAAATAAATATAAAATTAAAACAAACGGCTCAAATTCAAACTAGTTTTTTGTATTCTGTTTCTTGAGATCATTCACCATTTGCATTATGTTTTATAGCACTAATGTCTTGTACAAATTTGTATACAGGTTAGGCATGCCCAAGGAGTTCATAATGTAGCAGGAGAGAAGAACCATGATGAATACAAATCTTACGATTATTTTGATGCACACTTAACCCCTCTCGGCTGGGAGCAGGTAAGTCTAATTTACTTGAACGTCAAGTTGTCAAGTATTTCTGGATGGATTTTATGTTGTGTGGAGTTCGAGTGGAATTCTTCCTCGAAGTAATCACAATTATGAAGATGATAAATATTTCAATTTTCAGACTTGTTGATGAAATTGGTATAGGTACTCTGTCCTGGTATTTCCATTTGATTGATTTATCATCAAAGAAACAACGAGTCAACAACTATCTTATTGTATCATGGATCTATTTCTACCTAGTTCTTTCCCTGGTCAAATTTTTGTTCATCAAACATCATGATAGAATGCTTGTGCTTTGTGGCTCTATGGCAGGTTGATAATCTGCGAAAGCACGTGAAGGTGTGCGGACTTTCCAAAAGTATTGAACTTGTTGTCGTTTCCCCATTGTTAAGGTATAACATCTTTTTTATTTGGAATTTTTCTTAGAAATGTATCAGAATCAGTCTCACTTGGAGTCTGTTATTTCGTTTACTGTCTTATTAAAGATGTTTATCTGAGCAAGTTTGCAATGTATAATGAGACATAACTGACAATGATATTTATTTGTAATGCAAGTTGAAAGAATGTGTGCCATGTGTATTCTCATAAATAAACACATTTATGAAATGTGTAAAAAGTCCTTCACAAAGCAGGGACCAGATAGGCTGCATCTGACAACTGTGGATAAAACACCAGAAATTGGCTAGAATGACTGAATATTAGGATGCCGTTTGTGAAAACTTGAATGTCTTGTTAATTATTTATGAATGAACTGATTGTTATGTTTTCTCCTACTACATCTTTTATGGCCCTTGACTACCTATAGAACACAAATATTGGAATAATTAGGGAAACTATCTGACATTAGTGTTTGAATTTCAACATTGTGTCTGCTGGTCTATTATATTGATGCATGTATTTCATATTTCTCTACTCTTGTCATTGTAATGTCTTTCAAGTACAGATTTAGTTTAAATCATAATCGCTCTATGGCTTTTAGGAAGTGTTTTCTATTAACTTTTTAAATTATTAAAAAGGAAGAAACGATGAAAATAATAACAACCATATATTTTTATTTTTAAATTTTAATGTGTGGATTATTTGGTATAAGTATTGATATTGAGATAGAATTTGACCTTTTAGTTGGTGATAAGAATTATTTGAACTTGATCTTGTGGATCATGATATTTATGATATCCGCGAAGAAATCATTTTAAAAAAATTTCATTTACTGAGGAAATAAGAGTCCTTCTATATTTGGAACTATTGTTAGTTGATATTTATTACATTGTAGGACCATGCAAACAGCAGTTGGAGTCTTTGGTGGGGAAGCATACACTGATGGAATTAGAAAACTACCTCTGATGCTGGAAAATGTTGGACACAGCAATCATCTTGCAGTTTCTAGTCTGAACTGCCCTCCATTTATAGCAGAAGAGCTTTGCCGAGAGCAATTAGTATGTAATTATGCAATGATGATAAACAAATGCTACATGACAAGTATTGCTTTAGAGTTTGGATTATTGAATAACCTAATTTACATCGATCATTCCCCTGGTTTCTTGAATTCTCCTAGTTCATGTCAAGATAGCACAGCATTTGAAATTAGGAAATATACAGAAAACCTACCTAAGCTTGTAATATGACTACTAGACCATTGACCCTATCATCTTGAGCTTTAATGCTGCCCATGAAAACGGATAAAATCTTGTATGCCAGTCCAAACATTTACTAAAATTAACTTGAAATCATTATATCAGTTTTTTGAGAGTTATTTGCTAGTCCAACCATTGGCTGTTACTGTTTGTTCTTTATGTTACTTCAGATCATTACATCATTGTAGTATGTAGTGTAGTGTGGCTTCTTTGAATTATTTTGTAATTTGTAGTTTGCACTGCATAAACTTTTTCAATAACCATTTTTCTTTACTAAAGGTGAAGGATAATTGTTTCTGTTATGTATGTGACAAGATTAAATTAAAGATGCGGAGGAAAAAAGTTTGAAATGTTTCCTTCCTATTGTTTTAAATTTCATTTTCTATAAAAATCAACATGCTTTTATATAATGTTTTATCTTTGCTATTCAGGGGGTTAATCCTTGTGATAAGAGAAGAACCATCACTGAATACCGGAGTATGTTTCCAGCAATTGATTTTTCACTGGTTAGTGATCTTGTTATTGTTATATCATAATATGGTCTAGCAGCTACTACATTCAAGTTTGTTCTGATGCACTGGTTGCCAGAAGATAATTCGAATTTGGTTGAATGAGATTCATGCTTAATATAAAATCTGTATAGATTGAAAATGAAGAGGACATTTTGTGGACACCTAACGTCAGAGAGAAGCCAGAAGATGTTTCTGCTAGGGGACTGAAGTTTTTGGAATGGTGAGCGTGATTAAATTATTTTCTGTTTTTTTGCCAATAACTATGCATATTTAACAAGAAGAAAAATCTTGTTGAACAAAAAGGTAGGCATTGCCTGAGCATTCTGAAATTAAGCTTCATATTATTTGCATAATTGAAGTTCAAAATGAAAAAAAAAAAATTACTTTTATCAATTGAATCGCCTCAAGTGTTTGCACATATTTTTGCGAGTGTTTTTGCTTTGCTTCTGAAGCACTAGATTCCTGTTTCTGTGGCTATAGATTTTAAAGAAGGTAAAAAGGTGACTATGGCAATAATGCCACAATAGATGGTTCTCAATTTCTTCCCTTTTCTCTACAGCTTGAATATGTTCTAGAATAATCGTTACAAATGCCATCTAGTGGCTGAATGGCTACAACGAAATATCTGATATCTTTTCCCCAAATTTTGTTGTTGGTCCAGGTTGTGGACACGTAAAGAGAAGGAGATAGCAGTTGTTACTCACAGCAGTTTTCTGTTCAATACCCTCCGTGCTTATGGAAATGATTGTCACCCAAATATGAAGAGTGAAATATGCACACAGTAAGCGTTTCTCTTGAAATATTGCCTTATCTAACTGATGAACAGCATATTCTGGCTTTGCTGTATGCTTAAAATAATAAATAATAAGGTGCCTTTTGAAAAAATCTGTGGACACTAAGGATCAATCGCAATCCTTCAAAAAACAAAAGTAGGAAATAAAAAAAAAAAAATTAAAAAAAAACTTCCATGACTTCATCTTATGTTGTTTTACTATAATTCAAATCAAATACCAAGTAGTAACTTCTGATATCTTATCTTATATAAAACATGTATCTTTTGCTTCTGCAATTCTTATCTAATTTGATTTTTCCGACTTCACCATGTAGTTGTTAATGTGACAATTATATATCTTCGCCCGTTAGAATATTATTGTTACTTAGGAAAATTGGAAAGAAGCGAAAGACTATTGAAGTTCAGAAAAAACTAACAAAACAGATGTGTAATAACAATATAGTATACATTTGTTAACCTTAAAACTAACTCTTTGCACTTTGCACGACACACTAACTGACACTTTTTTGTTTTACAGCTTTGCTAATTGTGAGCTTCGTTCAATCGTTATCATTGATAGAGGGTGAGCATTTAACTTTCAGAACACAACATATTTTCAAGATTATTAGAAAATTCATTTGAGCTTTATTATTTATATCTTCAGTATGATTGGATCAAGTGAATCAACTACCAACTATCCCGGCAAGATTCCTCGTGGCCCTGATCTTCCCAGTGAAGCTGCTGACTAAAATCATTCAGGGCATGGGCTAACCAAATAATCGTTCCTCTTCTTGATAATTGGTCCTCTTTTAGGTTTTTTCATTAGTATGATATAATTCTTTCTTGATTGCATTTACAAGCAAGGGTTCAATTTTTTTCTTCAGCCAAACAAACTATTTCCATAGGAGCAGTTTAAAAATTCCTTTTTCGTGACATCAAGTAAATTGGTACTTATGGAGGTGTACTAAATTTTTAAGATGTGATAAAAACTTATGCCAACAATGATTATGCAGTGTTTAATTACTTCCAAATTCATCTATGAAAAATAGACATTTGTCTTTCCATTTTATTCACTTATACTATAAACGTATGTACTTCCTATGTTTGCCAGAGTAATGCTATGTGGTGTACCAGAGAGTTAATTAAATCAAATTTATCCTGCCTTGGAGCTGTGATGAGAATGAATATAACAAGTGTTAGAACTTTATTTGAGTCAAGCTCCAAAACTCCACGAGAGACAATCTCTCAAATTAATTCACAATGTTTATTCCCTTTGAAAGCTGTATAAGAGACTTATTTATAGAGACACTAGCTAACATAATCCTAATCTTGTGTCTTTAAGATAAACTAATAATGATATATTTATATCATTGAATCTAAAATAAACTAAAGATAAGATATTCTATCCTCTATTAAATGATATAATCGATTGCCCACGAAGGTGCACTTTTAATCCTCGGTTCTATTGCTTCATCTTCGTGAGTTGTAACATTACCCCTCTCATGGAAAAGGACCTTGTCCTCAAGGGCTACCTTGGTATAGAGGTTGACTAAATGATCCCATGACTCCCAAGTGGCTTCTTCGCGTGGCATGTCAACTCACTCGACCAAAACTTGGTATTGATTTCCCTCCAGAGTTGGTACCTTGCGTTCAGAAATGATGGCCTGCGGTGTAGGTAACTGGTGTTTTGGAAGGTCATCGCACATGATGGAAGCAGGAGGAGTTGGACCTGAGTAAGCCTTTAGTAATGAAATGTGGAAAACTGGATGAATGCGACTATTAGATGGCAAATCTAGTCGGTATGTTACCTTGCCAATATGTTCCAAGATCTGAAAAGGGCCAAAATATCACTTAGAAAGCTTAAAGTTGAGTCTACGAGCAGCAGTTTGTTGGCAGTATGCGTGAAATTTTACTCACCCATTAGTCAACTTCAAAATTCTTGTCCAATCGTTTAGAATCGGCATATTTTTTCATTCGAGTTTGTGCTTTAGTCAAATTAGCTTGTATTGCACTCTGAATTTCTTGTCGATTGATCAACATGGAGTCCACTTCTTCTACGGATGTGTTGCCTGGCGTATAGGATGATAATAACCTTGGGTTAGAACCGTATAATGCCTGATGAGGGGTCATCCCAATTGCAGTATATGTGGTATTATAGTTTAACTCTACCCAAGGTAAGTATGTATGCCACTGATGTGGATGATCGGAAGCAAAAATGCAAAGATACTGCTTGAGGCAATGATTGACAACCTCGGTTTGGCCATCACTTTGTGGATGATATGCCGTTGAGTAATGAAGATTAGTCCCACCCGAAGGCATGAGTTGACGCCAAAAACCACTTAAAAATATTGGGTCTCTATCTGAAACAATGCCCTGAGGAAACCCATGCAATTTAACTACATAGTCTAAAAACATAGTAGCCACAATCTTCGCTATAAATCCAGTATTGAGGGGCATGAAATGTGTTGTCTTAGTCAAACGATCTACCACAAAGATCGCGGTAAACCTTTTAGAAGAAGGAAGGTTGACAATGAAGTTCATCGAAATTTCTGTCCATGGAGTAGTGGGAATTGACAAAGGTTGAAGAAGGCCTTGAGATTTGGTAGTGATGTTCTTGGTTTGTTGGCATTAATTGAATACATGTTGTCACATATTTTTCCATTGATTGCTTCATCCCTTTCCAACAAAATTGTTCAGCCACCGTTTATATGTTTTTAAGGTTCCGGCATGCCTTCTTTGTGGGGTGGAATGAAATTCGTACAACACCTTGGTCACTAAAGGAGAGTCTCGTGGAATGTATAATCGAGAGCAATATAAAAGAAAACCATTATGAACCTCAAAATCCGGAGGGAGCTAGTTTTGGCCATGAAGTGCATGGAACTTAAGGAGTTCGAGTTCTAATGTATTAGCTTTCCGTAACTCTGATATAATCGTGCTTTCCACCTGAGTGTAAATATGATAGTGTTCAGCTAGCCGTCAAGATAAAGAATCTGTAGCAGAATTTGTGATCCTGGGACGATATACAATGTCAAATTCATACCCCAAGCGTTTTGTGAGATAGTATTGTTGGTCGGGTGTTTGTATCACTCGCGACATCAGCTCTTTCAAGCTCCTATGGTCTGTCTTAATGATAAATTTCTTTCCCAATAAGTAATGTCGCCATCTCGCAACAGCTTGTGTAATAGCATAGAGTTCACGCACGTAAGTGGATGCGTTGCTTATGCAGTGTGAAAGCTTCTTACTAAAGAAAGCCAATGGATGACCTTGTTGAGTTAAAACCGCGCCAATTCCCTTTGTGCTAGCATCTGTCTCAACCTCAATCGGAAGCAAAAAATTTGGGAGAGCGAGTATTGGGGTTGAAGTTAGAGCTTGCTTAAGTAACTTGAATGCCGTTTCGGATTCAGGTGTCCAATGAAAACTGTCGCGTTTCAACATCTTTGTCAGGGGAAAAGCAATGTTGGCATAGCCCTTTACAAAGCGGCGATAGTAACCAGTGATACCTAGAAACCCCCGTAACTGCTTGATAGTGTGTGGTAATGGCCAAGATAAAATACTGTCAATTTTGGAGTTATCGACCTCCACACCTTTAGATGATACGACATGTCCCAAATAATGCACTGAAGCTTTACAAAAATCACATTTAGTAAGCTTGGCAAAAAGGGAATGAGTCCGTAGTGTCTCCAAAACCAATCGAAGGTGTTGAAGATGGTCCTCCCAATTCTTGCTATAAATCAAAATATCGTCAAGGAAGATGGTCACAAAGGTACGCAAGAAAGGTCGAAAGATTCGATTCATAGTAGCCTGAAAATTAGCTGGCGCATTGGTAAGACCAAATGGCATGACCAAAAATTCGTAGTGACCGTTGTGAGTACGAAAAGTTGTCTTATGTATGTCACTATCCTCCATACGAATTTGGTGATATCTTGAACGTAAATCTAGTTTGGTGAAAATGACAGCACCCTGCAATCCAAAATCTCCTCAATCGTAGGCATCGGAAAAGAATCACGGATGGTAATGGCATTAACACCCCAATAGTCTACACATAAACGGCAAGAGCCATCCTTCTTTTTGACTAGGAGGACTGGGGAAGAGAAAGGGCTCGTGCTATCACGAATAACACCAGAATGATGCATTTCAGTCACCAAACGTTCAATTTCTATTTTTTCAAAGTGAGGATATTCATAAGGCCGGATTTGTACTGGTTTTGAATCTGAATGCAAGGGAATGCGGTGTGAAATATCCCTGACAGGTGGTAAACCCTTAGGCTCCTTAAAAACCACAACATATTTTGTCAACAATTCTTGGACTACTGGTGGAAAAGTAGAAATCGGTTGCTTTGTCTGGCATAATTGCATACTGCACAATGAGGAAATATCATCATGAAAGAGCATATAGTTGATGTGACGATTTTTGATTAGGTTAGGACTTAAAAAATGCTCAGTATGCAAAATGATAGGAGTCCCCTGATAATCAAATTCCATTATTAATTGATTGTAGTCAGTTAGCACACGACCTAAGCTTTGTAACCAGGATAAACCAAAAACCATATCAGCACCAGAAACTTCTAAGTGGTAGAGATCAATTGAAAAAGAAACGCCTTGTACTAAAATTGGAACATCATAGCTGCAGGTGTTGCACCATATAAAATCGCCGCTGCCCACAAAAACAAAGAATGGTTCAATATTTGTGTCGTGAATCCTTAAACGATGACATTAAAACTGATTTCTGGATTCCCCGTTCCATCGATAGTTGTGTCGTCAAGTGCATCGACATCCAACAAGTCGTGGCATACATCTACTAAATCATCAGGCGCTAACAGGATGTGACACTTAGCCTGACAATCGTGCGATGGGTTATATTTCTCGTCGCAATAATAACAAAGTCCCAAACGGCATCGTTCCAGCAACTCTGCCGCAGTAAACCGTTTATATGGAGGTTTGGTCTTTGGTGGGCTGGTGACAAGAGTAAGTGGGGTCGATATGGAGGAAGAGTCGTGGTTCTTATTGGAAAAGGTAGAGTGTGAATTAGGTATCCGGTTGACAGGGTTTGATGCTGGTTGTGCAGTAGGGGCTCAGAATGTACTGGGTCACGTGGGAAAAGGAGAAACAATTGACGATTGTTTCAATGATTGTTGTAGAGCAGCGTAATTTTGTTCATGGAGAAAGGCTAGAGCAAATGCCTCATGGTAAGTCGATGGTTTGGCCAGCTATAATTGGCAATTTAAGTAATCGTTGAGACCAGCCACAAAGAAGCTAACCAACCATTGTTCTGTCAGCCCAGTGACTCTAGTGGATAGATCCTCGAATTGGGTTTGATATTCTTTCATCATGCCTTCTTGTTTCAATTCCTTGAGTGCTTCTTGTAGGTTGGTGTACAGGTTTGAGCCAAAGTGTTTGTATAACATGTCAACAAAAATTATCCAATCTTTGAGTGTAATCGTTACGGATCATCCACTTGTACCAAGCGTAGGCAGGACCTATCATGTGAAAACTCGCAACTTTGATGCGTTGTTCCAAGGGAGTTTTTGCAACATCAAAATACTCCTCCAAACGAAAAACCCAATCATCAACATCGGTCTTGTCAAACTGGGGAAGATTAATCTTGAAATCTTTGGTGGACATGCATGTGGTGGACAAATGCAACGGGCTGTGCGGAATCGAGTGTGTAGATGCCTCGTCAGGATCTTCAACTGAATTCTTCTTTTGTAACAGAGACATGAGTTGGGTCATTTGTGTTTCCATACGCTCTTGGAAACTTAGAGTTTTGTGCCTCAAGACGAGACAACTCACTTTCAATTTTGCTAAGGCGAGTTCCATCAACTATGACACAAGTCAATGAAAGCACCAGTGTTAGAACTTTATTTGAGTCAAGCTCCAAAACTCCACGAGAGACAATCTCTCAAATTAATTCACAATGTTTATTCCCTTTGAAAGTTGCATAAGAGACTTATTTATAAAGATACTAGCTAACAGAATCCTAATCTTGTGTCTTTAAGATAAACTAATAATGACATATTTAAATCATTGAATCTAAAATAAACTAAAGATAAGATATTCTTAATCGGTTGCTCAAG